CTCTAAAGTTTACCATTATTCAGGGAAGTCCTGGCCTTCATGAAGCCTAGCTTCTCCATCTGTGAAATAAGCTGATTCCTGCCCTCATCATCCAATGAGAACTCTGAGGTCACATGCTGTGCACTTGGTGGGTTCTTAGCAAAGTTAGCTCACCCCCACTACATGGGTGAAAAGGCAGCATTAGGTCCTGTTAAGAATCCAGGTCACAGGAAAGGTAAAACCATTTTCTAAAAAATATATAAAAATCAATGCGATACACCATTAATAGAAAGAAGAAAACCCCCCACATTATCATCTCACTTGATACAGAAAAAAAATTTGATAAAATTCAATAATTCTTCATGATAAAACACTTAGTAAACTAGGAACAGAAGGACTCTTCCTTAATATAATAAAGGCCATATATAAAAAACCCACAGGCAGCATTATACTCAATGGTGAAAAACTGAAAGCTTTTCCTATAAGATCAAGAACAAGGCAAGGGTGCCTGCTTTTACCACTTCTAGTCAGTTTAGTGCTGGAAATCCTAGCTAGAGCAATAAGGCAAGAAAAAGAAATAAAGGCATTAAAATTGGAAAGGAAGAAGTAAAATTATCTTTGTTTGCAGATGATATAATCTTTTATGTAGAAAACCCTAAGTATTTCACAAAAACACTGCTAGAGTTAATAAATACATTCAGCAAAGTTGCAGGATAAAAATTCAACACACAAAATCAATGTGCCTCTATACACCAACAATGAAAAATCCAAAAAGGAAATTAAAAAAGCAATTCAGCCCAGCTGGTTTGGTTCAGTGGTTAGAGTGTCAAGTCATGGGTTCGATTCTGATCAAGGGCACGTGCCTCGGTTGCGGTTCAGTCCTGGCTCTGGTTGGGTTATGCAGGAGGCAACCAGTGGATTTCTTTCTCTCTTCTCTCTCTCCTTCCCTCCCTCCCTCCCGCCTTCCCTCCCACTCTGACTGAAGATAAATGGAAAAATATCCTCGGGTGAGGATTTAAAAAAAAAAAGAAAGCAAAACCACTTACAATAACATCAAAGAGAATAAAACATATAGGAATAAATTTAACAACAGAGGCAAAAGATTTGTACACTAAAAACTACAGAACATCACTGAAAGACATTAAAGAAGTCTTAAATAAATGGAAAGTCATTTCATACTCATGGATTAGAAGACAATATTGTTAAAATATCCATACTACATAAAGTGATACACAGATTAAATGCAATCCCTATGAAAGTCCCAACAGTTTTGTGTGTTTTTTTCAGAAATAGAAAACATTCTAAAATGTATATGGACCTCAATAACCAAAACAAGATGAAAAAAAGAACAAAGTTGAGACTTATACTTCCTGATTTCAAAATTTATTATGAACCTGCAGTAATCATGAATAAGGGTAGACATAGAGACCGACCAATGGAATAAAATAGAGATTCCAGCAATAAGCAAAAAAAAAAAAAGGCATATAGTTACGTGTACATACATTGTCAATTGATTTTTGACAAGGGTGCCAAGACCATTCAATGGGGGAAAGGATAGTCTTTTTAATAAATGGTATGGGTAAACTGTGTATCCACATATAAAAGAACGAAGTTGGAGTGTTATCTTATACCAAGTTATGAAAAACAAACTCAAAATAGATTAAAGACCTAAATGTAAGAGCCAAAACTATAAAACCTAGAAAACAAGGGAAAATGTCCACAGTATCGGATTTGGCAATGACTTCTTGAATATGACACCAAAACAACAAAAGAAAAACTAGGTAATTCTACTCTATCAAAATTAAAAAGTTTTCTGCATCAAAGAAAACTATCAAGAGAGTGAAAAGATAACTCGCAGAATAAGAAAAATATTTACAAATTATATATCTGCTAAAAGTTTAATAACCAAAATATGCAAAAAACTCCTACAACTCAACAGCAAAACAGATAACCCAGTTTAAAAATGGGAAAGACTTGAATAGACATTTCTCCAAAGAAGACATAGGCCAACAAGAACATGAAAAGATGCTGAATATCACTAGTCACTAGGGAAATGCAAATCAAAACCACGAGATAACACTTCACACCCATTAGGATGTCTATTAACAAAAAAAGCAGAAGAGAGCAAATGATTTTGAGGATGTGGAGAAATTAGAAACATTGTGCACTCCTGGTGGGAATGTAAAAACGGTGCAGCTGCTGTGGAAAAGTTTGGCAGTTCCTCAAAATTTAAACGTATAATTACCTTATGATTCAGCAATTCCACTTCTGGTTTTATACCTAAAAAAACTGAAAGCAGGTACTCAAACAGATATCTGTACACCCATGTTCATAACAGTAGCCAAAAGATGGGAGCAACCCGAGTGTCCTTTAATAGATAAATGGATAAACAATATGCAGTATGTACACATATGGAATATTATTCAGCCTTAAAAAGAAACAAAATTCTGACAGATGCTACAACATGGATGAAACTTTAAAACTATTCTAGCCCTGACTGGTGTGGCTCAGTTGGTTGGAGCATGGTCCTATACACTGAAAGGTTGTGGGTTCGATTTCCAGTCAGGACACATACTTAGGTTGCAGGTTTCATCCCCAGTTGGGGCACGTAAGGGAGGCAACTAATCCATGTCTCTCTGTCTCTATCTCTGTCTGTCTCCCTCCCTCCCTCCCTCCCTCTCTCCTCTCTCTCTCCCTTCCTCTCTCCTTGAGTGAGGATTAAAAAACAACACTATTCTTGCCCTAGTTGGTTTGGCTCAGCGGTTAGAGCATCGGCCTGCGGTCCTGAGAGACCCGGGTTCGGTTCCCGCTAAGGGCGTGTACCTCGGTTGCAGTTTGTCCCCGGCCCTGGTTGGTCGTGCGGGTGGCAGCCACTCGATGTGTTCCTTTCACATCGATGTTTCTCTCTCTCTCTCTGTTTCTCTCTCTCCCTCCCACTCTACCTGAACAAAATATGGAAAAATGTCCTCAGGTGAGGATAAAAAAACAAAAAAAACAACAACACTATTCTACATGAAATGACAATGTATGATTCCACTTACACAAGGTACTTAGAATAGGCAAATCAATATAGATAAAGTAGAATAGAAGTTACCAGGGGCTGGGGAAAAGGGTGGTGGTTAGGAGTTAGTGTTTTATAGGGACAGAGTTTCTGTTTGGGGTGATGAAGGGCTGTACAACAATGTGAATGTAATTAGTACCACTGAACTAACTGTATACCTACAAATGGTTAAAATGTTAATACTATGTTATGTATATTTTGTCACTAAAAATATATATGCTTAGATGGCCTGAATGGGGGGGGGGGGGAACACGCAGTTTTGATCAAAACAGTGATTTTCTAATGGCCTGGCCCAGGCCTGCTGATGGCCCTTGAGCTGGCCTTAGCCTTAGCCGCCTGGTGCCTGAGGTAAGCACAATTGTTAGGAACTCCCCCTCTCCTTTGAGGCAGGAAGTTTAAATTATCAGGTCAATTAGGAAAGATACAACCGAAAAATACAAGTTTCATTCACGCTTCAAGGAGGCGTTTCCTGGCTTGGTGCCACTTTTATTATTTTTGGCGGAGGCTGCTGAAAGCCCCACAGACCCAGGGAAGGTACAATGTGATCTTTGATTTGCGTTTCAAAGATCAAAGAGAGTGAGTTTGGGTGTAAATGCAGATAACATTTCAGAGATCCTTTCATGAAAGGAGTCACTAGACCAGGGCAGAAAGGGAGCTGGTGTGTTACGTGTGTTCGCCTTGAGAAAAATTTTCCAGTGAATTCGGCTGTCCATGGCCCCAGTAACTCCTGGCCTGCATCCAGGTCCTTGGCCCACGGGATATTAGGTCCTTGGGCTGGAACCTTCTCCCACCTCTTGTCTAGGCACTGAGAGGGCGGGAGGAGGGGCATAGGGCCGTGCACGAGAGGGGCCCCCAATCTCATCCTATGCCGGCTTGCCCAACGTCCCTGGGTACTGACTGGGCACGTCACTCCTGGGAGGCAGGCTTGGCCTTGGCAGCCTGCCCTCATTGTCCTCTCTGGGTCCAGTCTCGGCTGGGGTAGAGCAGCCCAAGCCCATCAACGATGAGAAACTCCCAGGCCCCGCCCGCCAGCAGGTCGAGGGTCCTTGGGCCAGAGCTGCCCGGCCCTCTCGCTCTGCGCCCGAGGTATGCAGGAGGTATGCAGAACTAGGCTCTCTGAACACTGGGCACTGGATGGTGAGAGAGACTTTCCTAAGGAGCTCTGCGGGCTCTCTACGCCCAAACCTTTCCTGATGCCCGCAGCCTTCCGTGCCCATCTGACTCGGGGCAGTAACCACGGACTGTGGTGGCACCAGCGCCTGCACCTCTGCGGGAGCCAGGTGGGGGCCGCGGCCCCTCCTTCTAGCTACTCAGGCCTCATCCCCAGAGCGTCCCCGCCCACCCGCTTAGCTCCGCCCGCCCCGCCCGCTCCGCCCGCCCCGCCCGCCCTGCGCCTGCGCACGCGGTCCTGTGTGCTCTCGTGGCGCTTGGCGCGGCGCAGGGCTGAGCGCGATCCCGTCAGCCCTCGCGCCGCGCTGCCTCGCTGGCAGGACCAGGGAGCGTCTGCGCGGCCGCGGCTCCACGGCGCATGGCGCAGGCGCGGCCTGGTTGGGAGGCCAGCATAGGGTGGGCCGAGAGCCGGAGCGGGGACGTACGGGAGGCTGTGCGCACGCAGGGGGTGTGGCTGCACGGCGCGGTGGGGCCCTGTGCTTCTCGCCGCTGCGAGTTGGAGTCGCTATCTTCAGCTCTAGGGTCAGTGGGGCGGCGAGAACCCGGGTGACCGGCGGTGGGATCCCGCCCTCCGTCCCTTCCCAAATCTCCATCCGCGGAAACGCGCTCGGAGCCTCCGGACTGGGTCCCCGCTGTCCTTCGGCCAGCGGGCCTCAGTTTATCAATCCGCGCCGAGGCTGAGGGGACGCCTGCAATCATTTTCGGGTGGTTCCCGCCGTCGTCGTCCTCAGAGATAGCGTCCCTCCTCGCCTCACGGTGGCCGATCTTGTTCTCCACTTTCTAGGTGACACTTGGACTCTCGCCTTCGGAGGGAGACGCGTCCGCAAGGTCTCTGGCTGCAGATTCGTGGACCCTCTTCATGAGCGCCTGTGGTAGCCGTAGGTGGGTCGGATTCTTACTGCGGTGGAGCTTGTGAGTTCAAATCCCCGCGGTTTCTTGCATGGCGGTTACAGGAGGGGTGGTGCAGTGGTCTGCCCTGAAGTGGAGGCACTTGCCATGAGGCTTTGGGCAAGTTATTCTACTCCTGGGGCCCCGGGGTCTCCTCAGAGTAGAGAACGTTCCATTGTTCCAGGTGCTGGCTTTGACTTTGCGCAGGCCAAGTGCGCGTGAGCCGCAGTATCTGCTCCTTGATAGAGCGCTGTCCCGTCCAGGAGAACGGCCCAAATTACACAGTGCCAGGCAGGGAGAGGAGAGAATTGAGACAGACCAACAGATTGATAGGCATAGGAGAGCCAAGATTCTCTCACCAGTCAGGCCCAGGCTTAGGAAGGTTCAGGCCTTCGCAGGGTTGACTGTTTGGCGCAGAGAAACCTTTGAGGTTGCAGGGGGCACACAGGAATAATGATGAGTTGGGAGGGTGACAGCTAGTGTTCTGAGTGGGGATGGGATGTCTGAACTGGGAGAAAGGGAGGGCAGAGATCTGGGTAGTGCATTGGCTCCTGAGCATGGGATGTGGTCTCTGGGCGACCTGGGACCTAACCTCAGATTAGTGATAGCAGCGATGCAGTTATTGCTTTTCAGAGCTCGGTGAGGGACTGGACTGGTCTCTGAGTGTATTGTATTATGTGCTATGGGCCACTGCTGCTGGCAGGCCCTAGCATATTGTTTCTTTGTATTAGGATGGGAAGGGCTTTCATGTGAAAGACTGAACCCAGAGTAGGGAATGTATCTAAGAGGTTCTGTAATGCTTGGGTGGCAGAAGTAGGTGCTGGTGGCTCTGGCAGCTTCGAGTGCTGCAGTCCACCCTGGGAGGTTCTGGGCAGAAAGACCAATAGAACTGTGCCTTCCTGGAGGAACTCACTATGATGGGCGATAAAAACATGGGAAACTGCACATGGTGCCGTTAGGTGTGAGTTGGTAGAGAATTGAGATATGGTGGAGGGGTTGTTGGAAAAATTGCACAAGGAGGGATGAAGCAGAGGGTTCTTTGGAGGCTATGAGTGGATCTCTCTTTGCAGAGATTTGGGGAAGTGGTTATAATTAGGCTAAGTGGGCAGTGTGAAAGCCCTGGGGGAGGGCTTCTTGCACTGGAAATGAACTGTGCTTCCTTTCCCACTTCAGGGCTCTTTGAGCTACTAAGGGTTGATCACTGCTCTCCAGACCGTTTGCAGGAGTAACTTTGGGGAGGTGAGAGAAGATGCAGCAAGTGGGACTAAACTGGGGTATCAGATGCTGGGCTTTTAACAGGGAAGGGAGTGCAGGGAGGTGATGGTCAGTATTGGGGTGGCATTGCCTGTAGGCTATACTCTGAGTAGTGAAGTGAGTCTGGAAAGAATGGGGGGAAGGCTAGAGACAAAAAAAATAGTAAGGTCCTGGGCTTCTGTCATGCACGCGGGTAGTATCTACCATGCTCCTGATGCTGTGATGTAAAAGTATCTTATGGCCATCTGTGCCATAAGTTAGTGTTTGGGCAGCTGGAGGACTACTCAGCTGTAAAGTGTAGTTCAAAATTGGTGTGGTGGAGTTGATGGTTAAGTGTTTGGTCTCTAGAGCCAGGTTCAGCTGCCTCTGCCACTTACTGGTTGGTGTGTGGCTGCAGACAAGCAACTTCACTCACCACTCTGCCTCAGGGACCATAATAGTACCAACCTTATGAGAGGGTCAGTGTTTGGTGTGGATAGAGCACTCAGTAAAAGGTTCCTACTGTCATTCTCCTGAAATTCTCTGATAGCCAGGCTGTTCAAGAAAGCCCAGGAGGTTCCAATCTGGCCCCCTTTCCTTCTCCTGGTACTGGCAGCATCTGCCATCACACCTTGCCCTTGAAATGTCACAGGTGGCATTTGCCCACTTTCTTGGACCTCCAAGGCCAGCTTCCCAGGCCCTTCTTCCATTCAGAGCTCCTGGTGGGTTACCTAAGGTTTGCCTGCTTGTTGCCTTCCTCCTATAGCCCGATGGTGACAGTTGGGCCTAGTTTTCGTTCTTCCCCACCTTGTTTTTGGACAGATTGCCTTGGATGGTGACCTGCGTCTGACAGTCCCATGAGCTCTTCTCAGCTCTCCTGAGGCCGCAGCTGTCAGCTCCCCTGACCCTCAGCACTTACCTGGAACACCTGGGGTTTGCCACGCCCCTTTCTGTCCATTTGTGTCCTGAGTGTCACTTCTGACCACCCTCCCCTCCTGTGCCATCTCTTCTTCCCTTCTCCCCTTCTTTCTAGTAGTTGGTGCAGCAGCTTCCCTTCTACTCCCAGCATGCCTCGTGGCCGGCGCCGGCGGCAGGGTCCTCGTAATCCCATCCGGGCTGCAGCCAATTATGCCAACGCACACCCTTGGCAAGAGATCGACTGGGCCTCTCCCGGGGCTGCATATGCTCCCCTAGTGGATCCCTGGATTGAGCAGCCCTGCTGTGGGGACCCTGTGTGCGTGCGCACGACCATGGAGCAGAAGAGCACAGTGAGCAGTGAGGCCACAGAAAAGGGTCCGCCTGCTGTGCGCATGCCCGGCCCACGACCCCTCAGGGTGGACTTCCACTGGGTGCCCGGCTCAGACCCAGGCACCTTTGATGGCTCTCCATGGCTGCTGGACCGCTTTTTGGCCCAGCTGGGCGATTACATGTCTTTCCGTTTTGAACACTACCAGGACAACCTCAGCCGCGTCTGCGAGATCCTCGGGCGCCTGACAGGCCGAGCCCGGGCATGGGCAGCCCCCTACCTTGATGGGGACCTACCCCTGCCTGATGATTATGAACTCTTTTGTCAGGATCTAGAGGAGGTTATTCAAGACCCGAACAATTTTGCTGAGTATCATGCTGCAGTGCCCTGCCCCTTACCCCCAGCCTCAAGCCAGCCACCAGTGGCCCCACAGTTACCTGTGGTGAGGCAGTACTTAGCTAGGTTCTCGGAGGCCCTGGCACTCAACATGGGTGCTACCTCCAGGTCTGTCCCAGCCACTGTGGCCACCCCTGCTGTTTCTGGTTCTGACTCGACATTAAAAAATGCTCTACCTGAGCAGCAGATGGCCAAGAAGAGCAGCCCTGGGCCCACTGAGCCCCCTGCCTTGTCCAGTTCTGCGTGCAGCACTAATCTTGATCTGGTGGGGCCAGCCTCCTCCCAGCCAAGGGAGGTGACCCCCAAACCTGTCCTTGTACTTTCAGAATCTGGTGATTCCCCTGCCCAGAAACCAGATCCAGCTCACCCAAGGGGTCCAGAACCCCAGAAGACAGAGGAGGTTTCTGAGGCAGAGGGAGACCAGGAGGTATCTTTAGGTGGCCCACAGGGAGTGGTGGACATCCCAGAGACCCCAGGAGAGCCACCATTTTCTCCTGCTCTTCACCCTGCAACCCTGGATTCTGAACAGGGCCCAGGCAGGTGTAGCAGTGCCCCTCGTGATGAAGTGGCCTCTGTAGTCAAGGAACCCCATAGTCCCCCGTCAGGAGCGAATGGCATTGCCAGATGACTAGACAGTGCTACCACCTGTTGCCCTGTCCACTTGCCCCGTTGCTGGTTAGGAGGTGCATTTATTTGGACTCTGCCTTATCTGAGCACAAACAATCCCCTTCGTCCTCCCCTTCCCTCACCACAGTAGACTGTTAGCCTCTGCCCTGTGCTCCTCATTCTGACTTCCCTGGTGGCCCAGAGGCTGTTTCCTGCTGGGCTCTGCAGTATCCTCACATCTGCCCTGGGAGTGCCATCTTACCCGGGCTTGTTCTCATTGGTTGAACAGAGTTCTGTACATCAGTCCCCATCAGGTATTTGCACTGTCTTTGTAAATCGTACACTCCCACCCACACAGAACCCCCTTTCAGTTCTGGCTGAAACTGGACTGGGTCTGCCATGCCAGCCTTGTTTGGATCTGGTCCCTGGATGGTTTTTGCTTTGACCCCCCCACCCCACCCTACCCCCAGCTCTGCTCCTGTGACCTGACCTCTGGGCTGGAATTTAAGGAAGGTTGCATGGAGGAAGTGGACACTTCTATTGTTGAGTGTGAGTCAGATGGTATCTTGATAGAGAAAGATGCTTTTCTGTGGGTTTGTCAGCACTTCTGGTCAGTTGGGAGGGCTCAGATACAGGAAGGTAAGATGCAGTCTCAACTCTGTTCCAGGCATTTTCTCCTTCTGTATATTAACATTCTAGTCACCTGATTTCCTTGAATCTTTCTGTCTCAGTGCCTTTGTCCCTGTTGCCCTTCTAACTTCTGCTCTTAAACAGTCATTGCCTTATTGCCTACTTTTGCAATTGCTTATTCAGCATTGAAACCCCAGCACTGTACATGACTTGTATACCTGGGTACACTGTGAGCCTCTAAGGCATGGGCTCCATCTTAGCTTGGGTCTCTAGTACACAGTTGGTGCTCATTAAATGTGTGTTGGACCCATGGCTGAGCCTGTGGTGTAGTGGCTGCTGACAAGCAGAGTCTTTGTTCCATTGGCAGGATCACTGTACCCATTCCGTCAGGAACAGAGAGGCTAGGCCCTAGCCGTAGCACCCCAGGTCAGTGTTGCATGTGTGGTTGGGAGCTTTGAGGAGCAGAAGGCTCTGGTTGAGGAGTTGGGCTAAATGGGTGGAAGTGGGAGGCCTGACAGGTGGAGTTTGGCCTTGAAAACTGACTTCTGAGAGTGTAGGTGAAGTGAGGAGCAGGCAGCAGATCTGAGTTGTGAAGCCCCAGGGGGCCAGAGGATTGGAATGAAGAAAGACCTGTTCTGCATAAGGATGGGTTTTCTAATAATGAGAGCTGAGCTGGGAAGCCCCCTCAAGCCAAATTTAACATGGGATTGGTACAGTGCACCAACTCAGAGGAGTGGTTAGGCAAGAATTTCAAGCCCCTTTCAGCTTTACAATTGTAAATAAAACAAAAGAACACCTTCCTGGAAAGTAGGAAGAAGAAATAAGTAGAATCGGGAACTGCAAATAAAACTAGTTATTTTAGGGAAAATTGTAATAAGCAAACATCTGATAAAAAATTTAAAGTACATTGTTGGGATTATTTTATTTAGTAACTGTCACTTAAAAGGCTCTAGGTTCAGATGGTTTTATGTGTGAGTTATTTTAAGGCAGATACCCTCTAAGTAAAACAGTTGCAAATCTTAGAAATAGGTGAGAAGCTAATATAACCCTAAAAGCAAAACAAGCAAGATGACAAATCATGTGCAGTCTGATTCTGAACAGATGTGGAAGATTTTCCGTGCTGTTGCTCAGGTCCAGGCCCTCTTACAGGCACGGGTCTGACTGCTCCTACCTCCCCCAGTCAGCTGTGGCTGGGCTTGCCTGTGGGTCTGGTATGGTTGGTGATAGAAGGACCCTCATTTGAGCTGGCAAAACAGCTCTGGCAGTAGAGCCTAGAGCTGCTTCTGAGGGGATGGTCCAGTTGACCCCTACTATGTTGCTGGTCTCTGCACAGGCTGCCTGCCTTTCCTGTCTCCATTTAGTGGACCTGGAATGAATTCCTTCAGCTCAAGATTCCATTTTCCCTTCCGACCCCCTGTCCCATTGGGGCTTTTCCTTCCTCAGGCCCCAGACAGCTCCTGTGGGCTTGGGTTATAATCTGACACTCCTCTCCTGAGGGCCAGCTCTGCCAAGGCAAGCCCAACAAGATTTGGGGAGAGGCCAGGTGACCTGTTTTTTAATTTGGAGAATGGTCTTACTGTGGTCGGACTGTCGGCATGAAAGGAGAGGAGAAGGGGGCATGGCCTCATTGGTGATGGCAAAGGTACCTGTTCCTGGGTGGCATCAGGAGAGGATGGGAGGGCTGTGTCCTGGCCTGCCTCACAGGCAGTGTGTATGGTGTTGCAAAGTGACAGCTTTTTCTGGCGCTGTGCCCTGCCTTTGGACAGATGCAGTGACCTAGCTGCTTTCCCATTCTTTAGGGGAGCGGGAACACGGCCAGGAGAGGAGGCCCTGCTGTGCTTGGTGGGTGGAGGGCCCGCTGGACATTTGCCACTCCCCACTCTCCACACACAGGTGGGTGACCCCAAAGAGGGTGCTCCTGAAAGCTGCATAGTCTGGTAGGGTTTGTGGACATGCTACGGCCAGGCTGAGGTGCTCGGGCCTGCCTTCTAGATCATCGTGCCTGTCCCTCACTTCCCTCAGAAATACCTGCAGATTTTATTTCCTAATGATAGGACACAGTGGGCACTATGGGAGAGTTTTTCAAATACCTATCTCCAAGGAAAATTCTAACACCGGAAGTACTGAGGAAAAGGTCCTATGAGATACTGAACATTTTATTAAAGCTGCAATAATGAAGGTGCTTGGAAATTGGTGTGGACGGATGAACAGAGGAGAATAGAGAACTTTGGAGTAAAGCCAAATAAGGAATTTAGTTCATGCTAGAAGTGTTTCAAATTAGGGTAAAATGGATTATTCAGTAAAAGAAGTTGGAACAACTGGTTAGCCATTTGGAAAATACCAGCCTATACTCCAGATGAATTAAAGATTTCAACATTTAACTGCTGAGCCAAACCGGCCAGGGCAAAGATTTCAACATTTAAAAAAATTATTTAAAGTAGTATAGGGTGAATTTTTTTTTAGTCTGTGACTTTTTTCCAGGACTTACTTTAAAAGTTTTAGATACCCAGAATTGTCAAGACATGGAGAAACAGACTTTTATGCTGTTGGAGTATCAAATACTACGATTTGCCCACATGATGTTTATAGGCACGCAGATGCTGACCACTTGCCTTGCATACAGTTGGTCGTTGCTCCTTCCTCGGTGTGGAGCTTCAGAGCATGGACTCGAGCTTGGTTACACCTTGCCTGTTACACTTGGAAGCTGACAGTCTTCGGTGTCACCTGACCTATAAGCTGTTAGAAAAGTTTATCGGCACAGGACATGGGAGGGTTAAATGAGATAACCCCCAGGCAGTGACCTGAGCCCTAGTGACTGTCTAATGAGCCTAACTGCAGCAAAATGAAACAGCCCAAAGGTCTGACAGGAGTGAGGTAAACAGAGCTATTATTCGTTATATCAGTCAGGATGTGTGCCTGATTGTGCTGCAGTAACAAACTTCTAGCATCTTGTCACAAATTAACTGGGGCACCCCCTGCGTTTATAGTCTCTTAGGGACCCATGCCAACAGGAACCCCACTGGATGTGTTTCTACCACCACAGAAGGAGGGTACAGACTACAGTGAACCACAAGTGATACATGTCTCCCCTTCCACTACCATTATTGTGGCCAGAGAAGCCACCTGAGTTTGGATGGATGAGAGCATCTAATCCTGCTGTGGGATGGGGTAGGATGCTCAGCCTTGAGAAGAGCAAGCATCCACTCAGCACAACTCAAGAGTGCAGCCATCGAGGAGTGGGTGGCGGATTGCATCAATACTCTGGAAGGATGCCTGTGTGCCTTTGTCAGGGTGGTATGGCTCAACAACAGAAATGTTTTGTTTCACAGCTCTGGAGGCTAGAAGTCCAATATCAAGTTATTGGCAGCTGACAGTCCTCAGGGTATTGGAAACTACAGGGGTAGTTTCTCCTGAGGCCCCTCTCCCTAGCTTGTGATGGCTGTCCCCTTCACATGATTGTCCCTCTGTGCCTGTGTCCTGATCTTTTATGAGGATGCCAGTTATATTATTAGGGCCCACCCATATGATTTAATGTAACCTTAATTTCTTCTTTAAAGCTCCTGTTTCCAAATAGTCACATTCTGAGATTCTAGGGGTTAAAACTCTGAATTTGGGGGGAGACACCATTTAGGCCATGATACTGCACAAGATGGGTTTCTTTTTTTTCTTTTAAGAATTTTTTCTTTATTGATTTTAGAGAGAGGGAGAGAAAAACATGGATGAGAGAACATGTCTCCTGCATGTCCCCCGCTGGGGATTTGGCCCACAACCTGGGCATGTGTCCTGACCTGGAATTGAACTGGTGACCTCTTGGTGCATGGGTCCATGCTCAACCACTGAGCACACTGACCAAACCAAGATGGATTTCTTTTTAGTTATTTATTTTGCAATTTGGGACAGGGTTGTCATGAGAACCTTCTGAGTGTCACTGAATGCCCATGTGCAGAGCTCCTCTAGGCCTCTGGGGCAGAAAACAAGTGCCCGGTTGTTCTGTATGCTGGGCTTTTCTTCCTTTTTTATTTTTTATTTTTTTTTTATTTTAAATTTCTCCTGCCTCTAGGGGGGAGGTTCTTTAAAGAGCCATGCTTAGAATGGGCTTCTTTTTGTTTTTGTTTTTTTGGGGGGGGGGGTTTATCCTCACCCAAGGACATTTTCCCATTTTTTGTTCAGACAGAGTGAGAGGGAGAGAGAGAGAAACATCGACGTGAAGGGACACATCGAGTGGCTGCCACCCACACGACCAACCAGGGCCAGGGACAGACTGCATCCGAGGTACATGTCTTCAGTGGGAACCGAACCTGGGTCTCTGTGGACCGCAGGCCGATGCTCTAACCGCTGGGCCAAACTGGCCAGGGCTTTTCTTCCTTTTTTAAACCTCACCCGAGGATATGTTTCTATTGATTTTTTTTAATTTATTTTTTATCCTCATCCGAGGACATTTTTCCATTTTTTGTACAGACAGAGTGGGAGGGAGAGAGACAGAGAGGGAAACATCGATGTGAAAGGGACACATCGAGTGGCTGCCACCCGCACGACCAACCAGGGCCGGGGACAAACTGCAACCGAGGTACGTGCCCTTAATGGGAACCGAACCCGGGTCTCTCCGGACCGCAGGCGGACGCTCTAACCGCTGAGCCAAACCGGCCAGGGCTGTTTCTATTGATTTTAAAGAGAGAGGAAGGGAAAGAAAGAGAAAAACACTGATGTGAGAGAGAAACATTGATTGGTTGCCTCCTGTATGTTCCCTGACTGGGAAATTAACCCCAAACC